TATCAATTTTATATTTTATAAAACATCACCTAAAATGTTTCCTCCTTTTTTTTTAAATATATATTTTTTTCCATACTAATTCATTAAGTTTTGTATTTTATTTTGTATTATTTTGTACAGAATTATATTATTCATTATATTATATTTCGTCGAACGTAATGACGAATATTTTATTTTCTTTCTTTTTTATTTTCTTCTTTTCTCATATAAGATTGTCAAATTGTACTCGTTATTTTCCTATTTTATTACATATATATATATATTTATTTTTTTTTCAACCAAACATAATTTGCAAATCCTTTTCACGGTTAGTAAGAAACGTCAAGTGGCATTACAATGACGAAACTACTTGAAAGATAGACGTTGTAGTTTGTTTTCTATCTCTGTTTCACTTCTTATTTCTTTCTATCTCGTGTCCTGAGAAAGGTCGATATCCTTAGAGTAGAAAATCCTGTGGTCAAGCGGTTAAAGGGACGAGGGCTCCAAAGCGGATTATGTCGATTTCCTTGTGGGGCATTGGAACTTCTCTATCACCATATAGCAATGAAATCTATCAACATTGAAACCCTTTTTCGATTATTATAATATGAATCTCATATGATCCTTCAAATTACCTGGATTATACTTGTAAATCTATTTTATTATTCCTTTTTTTTTCCCTCAATCATTCTGAAACTTGTTTCTCTTTCTCTTTCTTTCTTTTTTTTTTATATTTGTAATAATAAATTTATAGCAAAAAATATTGCAATGTAAACAAATAAAAAAAAAGAAAAAATACAAAAAATTTTAGATTTGAGCATCGTTGACGTCACTCGTTTGTTTTTGACTTATTTGTTTTTTTTTTTTATCGTAATAGAACAATTTATAAATTATTTTTTTTTATTATGTCAGTGAATTAGGTTGCAAATTAATGTACAATTTTTATTCTAATTTTACGATAAGTTTTATATCATTGCAATGTTTGCTTTAATAAACATCATCGGGATGCAATTTTAATAAATTGTATATTTAATTTAATTTAATTTAATGAATTAATTAATGGTAGAATTTAGTTTTGTTTTTGTATTAAAATTTCTTCAATCTATGACAGTAAATAATAATTGTTTTATTTTGTTATATAAATAAATAATGTAATAATTATTTATAAATTGTAAAGATTTGCACATGAATATCTTCGCGTACCGAAAACGACATCTGTGCAAACTTGAATTCTACTCATCGACCGTCAACAATGTAGCTATTAACAATTATTTAATAAATCGTAACATCATTATTATTAAAAAGTATAAATATTGTGAGGAAAAATGAAATTTGAGAAATAATTAATAAAATTATTCCAATTCTTTCTTTTGAGAGATTCTTTTGAAAATCATTTATCGATCATTTATCATTTCCTACGTTGCCGACGAACAATAAATTATAAATTACATTAAATTAATTCACGATTATGCGAATACACGTCGCATGGTATTTAAATATAACAAAATTCAATTCATCTAATCATTTTATTCGACGAAAAAAAAAAATATTTCTTATTACAATAAATCATTGCAATTAACATATGTAATTATAATTAAAAATAATAATAATAATAATAATAATTTATCGCAAGAAATATAAAATTAAATAAACAATAATTTTATTCTAAAAATGTATTCCAACATTTTATACAAAAAACAAAAAAACAAAATCTTTACTTTTATATTTTTATTTTTTTTTTATAAAAATATTTCTTGTTTTTTTTTTTTTATACAAATAAAACTGTATGAGTTTAAGTATATAAATATAATTGATAAAAATGTATTTGGGCCTAACTTGTGAAATTTTTTTCTACAGTCAAATTAATTTATATTAAAATACAAAAAAAAATTAGAAGTATTTTTTTTTTTTCAAGTTCACAATTTTTTAATCAACTTAATATATTATGTTCAATTAATTAACGTAATTTTTGATTATTTGATATCTTTACAGTTTGTAGTTTTGACTAAACTATGATAACCCTAAATACTCGTTGCAAGTATAGTAACATACGTACAGGCGTTCCATTTCAAAGAACGTTGAATGATTATTTAAAAAGGAACACTCAATATTTCATACTACAAACTTGTAAATTAAACAACAAACAAAGAAGCAAATTAAACATAAATTTTTCAACTAAACACATAATACAATTATATTATAAAATTGCATTTAGGATTAAAAAAATGAAAAGAGGACAAGAAATTTTACTGGAGAAATGCATTTTTATTAACAAATGTGATAATAATAATAATAATAATAATAAATAATTAATGTCACACACGCTGATAACAATAAATATAAGTCATGGTGTAAATCGTACTGTATGATCCATCGAATTTCATTAAAAAAAAAAAAAAAACATTCCATCAAAATTATCAATCGGTTACATTTACCGATCAAAGTTTATCTGACAGATCAAACTAAGTTGATGATCATCGATGATCGAGAGTAATAAAATCTTCGAAGATTTTATTGTGTTTCAAGGAAGTCAAAGAAATAAACAAAAAGTTAATCGATGAGAAAGAGAGAAGAGAATAGAAAAAAAAAAAATAAAATAAAAATAAAACCAAAAAATTGAGTGAGCAAAATGTTGAAACACTTATCGAAAAATATGAATTATCATCGTATCGATTAACGAATGTCAATTGTCAATTGTGATTATTTTGTTATACAAAAAAACATCTTTGGTCTAAACGAATGATGATCGATACGGCCATTGAGCCTAATTAATGAGCTATCAATTATAATCCCTTTTCTTTTTTTAATTTCTTTTTCGTTTAATAATTCGACGAGCTTGCAGCATTCGATGATGAAGAAGATGACAAAGAAGAAGAAACAGAAGACGATGAACCGGAAGAACCAAGAGAACTATAAGAATTGGAACCACTGCTAGGTGAGTAATAACTGTATGCTAGATTTTGTGACTCCACACCATTGGTCGGCGTCCAAACGCGGGAATAAGGGCCAGTTCCTTCCCATGTGTTCGCCGGATCGTAACTCGACGTGGTCGAGGGCATAGGTGGAGCACCGTATGCGGGAGTAGCTGGTTCCATTGACATACCTGAAACGCGAAACAATAAATAATTATTTATAACACCAATTACTTTTCAATGTTATTTTGACGTTTCACATTTACCCATGGGCATCATCATGCCACCCTTCTTTAAAAATTGTACAGCGAGGAATCCAATGACCAACAATATTGCGAGTTTTGATAGAACTAAAGCCTTCAATGCTTTCAATCCAATAATAGCAACGAATATTGGCATAAGTGCTTTTAGTTTCAATTTTAATAACAACAAAAATGGCAATAACAATTTTTTCTTGAGTAATCCACGTGCTTGATTGTTAACAACGTCGTTCCCTTTAAATTCTATATCAAGATCCGCCAAACTTCTGCTAGGTCTATATTTCAAACTGGCATCCACGAAGGGTAAATCCATCCCATAGTCGAAACTCTTGAAATATTTGAAAGTCCTAGCTACAATGGCTTCGTCTATGGTATCGAGAGACCTTGCCTCGGTTATAGTTCCCAACTTTTCGTCGAGGTATTCAAGGATCTCGTGTTTTAAACAACTCGACCAAGATTCCGCTGGTATGCAATGATTCAAAGAATTCGTCAGAAGATCCTGATTGGTTGATCCTAACGTGACAATTCCTGCCACCAAGAAAATCGGTAATATTGCTCTCGTGATCGTCATTTTTTCTTTTTTGTTAAATTCGCGCACCAACTTTGCTAATTAAACAAAAATTTCACTTTCGACGTTGCACACTTGAAAAAAATTTTCTTTTTTTTAATTAATATGACGAATCGTAAGGAAGAAAAAAATATATATATATGTATTTATAATTGTGGGTAATTAAAAAAAAAAAAGGTTAAAAAATGAAATGTTTTTGTACTACTCGCGTGCGTACGAACGATCGACGATCGAACTGCGACTGACGGAGGAGTGGCCCGCCCCTTTTATTTAATTTGCCCCCCGTGAATCTATGTTATTCGGTCGCGCATGCCAGGAATCAACGATGGAAGGAAAATTATTCAAATTTCACTGGCATAGACCAACCAGTATACCCTATACGTACACGAATAACGCTCCTACTACGTTTGTCGGAATTGTCATCGTCTTCGTCTTCGTCTTCGTTCTTTCTTCTCGCTTCCAATGTCGCGTACGTCGTACACTATGGCATGCGATACCTGCTAGGTGATACACGGGAAACGGAACTTACCCCCTTCATCTTTCTTTCTCTTTTTCTCTTTCTCTTTCTCTTTCTCTTTAACATATGCATTTTCTTTCATCAAGTGTTCTTACTTCAACTTCAGTTGTACCAGCTGACAATAAAACTTCCATCATTATCACTTTAACAAAGTCCGGTTTATTTATTTTTTTTTTTATTCATTTATTTCTTGAAATTTTCTTTAAAAAAAAAAAAAAAAAGAAAAAAGAAAATAAAAACAAAGGTTTTCCTTCTACTTTCCCTCCAATCAAATTTTACCTGTCGCATTCGTTTGAGGTTTTTTTTCTTTCGTTTTAAATCATAAATTTCACTAGTTTCGTTAAATTACCAATTATTTCGTCGAGTTTAACAAAGTGACACGAATTGTTCTCATTCATTTGTACGTTCATTCATCGTCACGATGTTAGGTTTGTTTTCGTTAGATGAATTTTATATTACACAAATGTATTTTGTTCTCGTTACTTGTACAATGCATTCGACTTGTTCTACTTGTTTCATGATGTTTTTATAATTTTGTATTTTTTTTTTTGTAAATTTGTTTTTTTTTTTTTATTCGACGGGTATTCAGCTTATTGTCAGTTTTCGTGGACACAACGGTGAAAGTGAATTTATATTTGAAAGTGTATTTATAACAACGCGTTGACAACTTTCTCACGTGTAGTAGTGTAGTATGTAGTTCAAGTAAATAGAATTTTATTTTATTTTATTTTTTTTTTATTAGATTAGGTATTATTTTATATTTTGTAAAAAAATGAATATATACAGAAAGTGTTTGACGTGAGATATTTATAAAACCTGTTCCACTCAATTCAAATTTCTGTAGAAATCAACATAGTTCATTCCATAGAAAAAAAAGTATTATATTTCATATAATTATTAACATATTTTTTATTATTATTTTTAATCACACTTTTCAAGCTTCTTATATATATATTAATCAATACTGTATAATTATTATTTTATCACATATCATAATAAATTGTAACAATAATTCATCATTAAGATATTCATTTAATCAATACGTTTAATACAATATTTTTATTTGTATATGACATCAAAAATAATTCGAAATATTCAATATCAATTGTTTAATTAACATGTGAGTACAACATTCATTAAATTAATTTTCAATTGAATAAAATAATAACTACACAACATATAATTATTGTATATAATAATCTTAATTTCATTTAATAGTGGTAGTATTCGTAAAAATGGTAAAATAAATGATTACAAATAACATGATCTCTGTGCAATGATAATAACAATTTATTAAATAAATTACATCAATAGGAAAGTCACACTTTTGCAAATGTCAAAATTATTTTTTAAAAAATGTGTAAAATAAAATCTCAAAAATAATGTGATTACAATAATACTACTACTACTACTAATAATAATAATAATAATAATTAAAATAAAACACATAGAAACAAGAAAGTAGGAAATTTGATAAAAATATAAATAATAAAAAGTATTCAGCCATAATATAAAGGATGAAAGATAAAATGAAACATATTAAAAAATAACATCACATAAGTTTGCAATAATAATAATAATAATTTATTAAATAAATTCTACAACATAAAAAAAAAAAAAAAGGAAAGTAGCTATTTTACAAAAGTCGAGTCGTGTGTGCAGCTAAAATTATTTTGACAAATAATTTAATTTTATTTCTCTTTCTATTTTACGATTGGGCGTATCCCGAATACGCAAGATTTTGTGCGTATTGCGACGATGGTACTTCTTGTTCTTGATTGGAAAATGATCTGTATTGAGCTTGGTATTCCCAAGGACCATGAGCTGCAAGTGGTGCAGCGTGACTATCGGCAGCTATCTTTTTGCAAAGTTGAAAGATGGCCATGCCGACTGAAATGATGAAACTGAAGAAGGACAATTGTAAAGCGTTCCATGCTTTTAATCCAAGAACACCAATGGCCAAAGGTATAAGTGTCATGGCCTTCAACAGGACGAACACGAGAATAGGTATGACGACTTTCTTCAATTTAGATCTGCGAGCTTCTTCAACGGCACGACCTTGACCGAACTGTACGTCAAAAGTAATCCTATCGTCGTCGATGTTTCTTGAGCTAACTTTAACGGTAGATTCTAATGGCAGTTTGAAGGTTACGTCGTGAGTGGTCAAATACGATTGTACGGTATCGATGAATGATCCTTCACCACGTGCAGACACATCTTCGGCGGGATACGAGTTACGTGTTACCTCCACTGACTCGGATACCTTAATAAAAAATAAAATAAAAAATATCAATGGAATGTGATGATGAAAACTAAATCCAGATTGATACAATTATTTGATCGTTAAATGAATTCTTTTTTAAATTACCTTGAAGCTGTCCTTGCGGAACAATTGATCGAGTAAATTGAGAACCTTGAACTTCATGCAGGATACCTCGTCGTTTTTCTGCGTGCACTCAGATTTCGTTTGATCAACCATTTGATCCAAATTGGTACCCTTCCAGAGTTCATTTTTCGCTGGCTGAGCCACGGCCAATGCTATGAACGAACAGATGATTAAGAACTTCATGATGATGATAAGGAATTATTATAAATATATAATATATCCCAAAAGATATAAAAGTTATTAAAAAAAAAGGACGATAGGCTCGCGTTAATTCTCGTCCTCGAAGTGTCTTAGAAAGACGTTTATACCACGACTGATGCCAATGGGTTGGGCATGTCGCTATTTATACGACAGGCCTTTCGTCGAATCGTAACATGGGCAAGTCCAGGATGCACGATGCGTACGTACACTCACTAAACCCCTCCCCCCACACACACACCCCACAACCCCACTCCCAACCCCCGCTACCAATTCATTCGGCATGACCACGAATTTTCTTTTCGTTCAGTATGGTCTTCGATTATCGAGGCCTCGGTTTCTATCGTGATTGGAATAAACGATTAACCAATGAGAATTCTCTCTCACTATGGACACTATATCGATAATACATTGATATACTTACGATTTATTTCTACACCCTCCTTGCGATGATACAAATTTGTCTGGGCCAATGGGACAGAACAAAGGGGGAGACCCATTTTTTTTTTAATACACGAATTATATACGCTATGGAATTTGAAACCTATTAAATATAACCCCCCTCATCACTTAAAATCAATTTGCTTTCTATCAACGAACGTCATACCTGATTGAAGAAACCACCCGGAGACCCTCCCCTTCCCTCCCAACCCTGTATTATTCGATTTTCTTTCCTACTTACTTCGTCGATTGACTACTTAATTAAGATTTTTTGTCTGTTAAACCCTTTCTTCGATTTCTAACGAAAGTTTACTCTCGTCTACGTGACAAGATATTCGAAATTTTAATTTTGACATGAGTTTCAACTTTGTTTTTTTAATTCATTCCAATCAAGAATATATTAATTATTATTATCTTTTACCTTTTTGTTGACCTGGATAGGTACGATTATTTAAATATAACACAATTAATTGTAATCGATGTATTAATGTGTTTTATTTTGAATTAATTACAAATAGTTTATATATATATATATATACATATACACTTTTAAATAATTTTGTTCTAATTTTCATCTCTCGTAAATGTTTATTATATATTATTATATTTTATGATTATTAAATTAGTGAAATATTGTTGATTAAATGTTAATGAAATCATCATCATATATATATATATATATATGACTATGTATAAAAATATTCGAAACGGAACAATTGAGAACGGAAATATAATCGGGTTTCCGTGTGTTGCAAGGGTAGGAAAATAAATACTCTTGTAACTTGTAGTAAAGAACACCGTTGTAACATTGGCATTGAAGCATCAACGATCATTTTTTATTATTCTCAACACGAGCACGACTTTCCACGCGTCTGCTCCGTTAAAACAACGTTCCTATCTTTCCTTCCCTCTCTACTCCCCCATTCGGTTTTGCCTACGCGTGACAATCCGTCATAGTAGTGTTAATTTCACACCCCCCCCCCACCCCCGTTCTAAAAGCATAATTAAAACGTCACTTCACGTCGGTCACGCGGTGAAACAACTTAAAAAAGAAATAGAAAGACCGATGGAATGACCTAACTATCGTAAATGCGTGTCGCGCATGAATTTCTCGTACGAGAGACACTTTTGTTTCTTTCTTTTTATTTTATTTAATTTCTTTTTTTTTTTACTATCTCTCTGTCCCTTTTTGTATTTTTTTTATTTCTATTTCTACTTATTTTATTTTTATTACTTTGAAATAATTAATAATTTAATTATCAACAAATGAACTGACAATTAGAACATTTTGTTAGTTTTTTTTTTTTTTTTTTTTTTTTTTTTTTTTTTCATACAAATGACAATTGTTTCAACAAATTTTAATATTCATTTTTCTGCAAAAGTTTGATCAAAATTCTACTCGGTGTTATAGTAGAAAGCAAAAAGAAAACTTATTCATACTTTATTAAATAATTTATATTTTTATTTCACAAGTTTCTTTTTATAAAACCCGACAAAATGGTGCAAAGTAACTTTCTACGATCACGTTCGAACATCATTATAATTTATTATTAACCTTTTTTTTTTTTTTTATATTAGTCGAACTTATTCACTTCACTGTATCGTTCCAAATTGTTATATCGTATCAAGGTTAGATAAAATCACGTTTAGAATCACGTTTTTCAAGTGTGTGCATGCGTGTACACGTATTTTAAAAGGGATTCAACAAAACTTTCTTGACAGAAAGAACAATAATGTGAGCTTTCGCTAGCAATTGTTGTGGAAGGGACGTGTGATTTCGCTTTTTAGTTTCACCTAATCTCGAATTATACATACGTAATACTAAATACATTCTCAAAAAAAAAACAAAACAAAAATTTATTTTTAATTTCTTTGTAGAAAACCATACGTACATTCAAGGTGGAAGAAAAATTGTACGGACGATGAAAAAATGTAACATTTTTTTTTTTAGGTCTTTTTTTTTTTATTCAATTTTTATAAATAAAAAAATGTAAGAGGACAGGTGAGTCGCATGAATAAATAATATTAAATAAACGATCTAATGAGGTCAAGAGAAAACAAATCAAATAATGTGAATTCCTATTTCCTATAGGCTCTGTATGGACCATGTGCTGAAGTATCCCAATGAGGTGGATGTTCAACAGGTGGATGTCCATAATGAACAACTTCGTATGCAACTTTAGGTTTGGTCAACTTGAATATCATCATTGCACCGCTCAAAACCATTGATAGAAGACCGAGAGTAAGAGCTTTCCACGTTTTCATTGCGATCAATGCTAATGCCAGGGGCACCAATGCGGTGGCCTTGAACTTCAGACCCAAAAGGAAAGGAATCATAACTTTCTTCACGAAACCACGTCCTGAAACATTCATTATAATTAACGTTAAACAATTTTTCATCGTCATTTTTCAAATCATTGTAAATTTTATTTAATATTTTTACCTTGTCCATTTGATGAATCACTGAGTGGTACAGTTAAAGATTTAGGTACATTTTCGACCAATGATCTTGGTACAATATTTGATCCAACAATTGCTTCGGGTAATTTAGCCTCGAGCGTATGACTGGACAAATAAGCATCAACCTTTTCTAACATCAATGATCGTAGAAGTTCTTTTCTAGCTGGATCAACTATGTCATATTTCGTTGGATAATATTCGTCAGGATTTTCTTCCTTTATATCTCTTGATTTAATTATCGATAAATCATCAGTGATAGCAAGTTTGTCTTGTTTAGCAGCGTCACTCAGGTATGATAATACTTTTGGTTTTACACATGACAACATTGATTTACTATCAGCACACCTGTAACAAATATAAGATAGTTAAATTATTGTGTGGTGTTTGTTTTTTTTTGGTTCAAATGTACTTATTCGATGATTTATTTTCTTTTTTTCTTTTTTTTTTTCTTATATACTTACCTGTAATAAATATTCGTAAGAACTTCAGCCGTGGTGGGAACATTTTGTGCTTGCGCCAATGCGACAAGTAGGGTTAAGGTATAAGCAAATGTGATCAGGATCCTCATGGTTGATACTAACGATTCGCGAGACTAAACACCGAATGCCACTTCGACACGAAGACAACGCGGTTTTATAGCCGATGGTAGCATACGAACGAACAATGAATTTTGATCAGGAAACAACGACGACAACCATGACGATGACGACGACGTGTTGCTTGCCGAAAGGAAAGAAGAAAGCTTCGTTATCTAGGGTGCCAATGTTTTCACGATTCTCGATTAATTCCTTCCCTCTGAAATAAATTCGTTCTTTTTTTTTTCCTTTTTATGTGTTTCTTTTTTTTTTTTTTTATTTAAATATTCGTTGATTCAAGTTTTCAATTTTACGTATGGTTTTAAACAAATTCGATTTTTAAGATGTCTGATGTCAAATTTGTTTGCAAGTATACGTTAATAATATTTTGGGGATAATAATATTTTTTGTTTATATTATTAGCAACAATTGTTTATTCAATTTACTTAAAATTATATTTTATCTAATTAAAATTAATAAAATTTAGATTTTATATTAATATTTAATTATATTTTATATAATTTTATATTATAAAATGAAGTTTAGTAAAAAATTATTAGTGAAGGATATTTTAGAATATTTTTACTCGTAAATCATACAATTTAATAATAAAATATTAGTGTCAAAGTTTAATATAAAAACGATACGATTTTATTACCAGTGTTGTTTGACCAAGTTATTTTATAGCAGGTGTATTATTACGCTCCTGTTTGAATGCTAATAAAAATACTAATAAATCTACTTTTATTTTTTTGTTTTTGTTTTTTTTTCTAATTTCTAACTATTTTTTCTTTTACGACTTCCTGCATTCTAAGATTGTATTATGTATATATATATATTAAATTTATTTAGGTTCATGGTTAAAAATTGGTTAACAAGATCTTAACAATAATTAAAATTCTATCTTCGTCATTCATACTTACATTCATACGATCCCATTCATTAATATTTAGGCTAACTGACCATCATTGCTGCTTTCGATTATTCCATTTAATTTTTACTATACTCAATACCCTTCTTTTTATTTATAATATATATATATATATATATATAAAAATAAACCAATTATGAGAAAATATTTGTGTTCAATCATTTATGGATAAAATAAAAATAAAGAAAACTCAAATAAAAACTCAGATATTTGATTAATAATTTATTGTACAAAATGAAATAACAATTCGTATAATTTTCATTTAGAATATCATGTAGGATTATTTATATAATATAACAATTAACAATGTACAACACAAATTGGACAAATAAAACCTGCAAATGTCGAGTGTTCAGAAACATTTTGGGTATGGCACCCGAATACGTAAATGCTAATTTATTTAAATAAGTACTTAAATTAAAATATTTATCAAAATTATATTATAAAAACAATTATAGGAATAAATATTAAAAAAAAAAAAAATTAAAAATAAAACAACATTAAATAAATAATATAATTTACTTATAATTTACTTAATTTATTATCAAAATCACATAATATATCTAATGTATTAGCGATATCTTGTCAAGGCTTAATATTTTTCAATTCATACATTTAACAAACAAATAATGATGATTACGATGATAACGATGATGATGATGATGACGACGACGGTGAAATTAATCATACTCGGCATTGACAGTATTATTTTAAACAAATAACGTGAGACATCGCTATAATAACAGTTTAAAATCTAAATATTATTAGATTCTATTGAAACTGATATGTCATTTTTTTTTATACATGAATATTTTCACACTTAACATTAATCATGGCAAATATTATTATAATATATAAAGTTGTGTATCGAGGAACGAGCTTATAACACTTCACTGATAAACACGTCGTGTTTTAACTTTATAAAAAAGTTAATTGGCACGCATGTAAGTTTCTTATGTAAATTATCTAATTACAGTTGAATGATACACACACACACACACACACACACACATGCACACCTTTTCATTTATTGCATCATAATAAATAACCACATATGTTATAAAAAAAAAAAAAAATCAAATAAAAAAAAAATAACAATTTTATTCTGTATTTATGTGACAGGGATACGTTCGTACGCAATCACCATGATCTTGACCTATTCTAGCTGCGCTCAAATATTTATGAAACTTTTGACTTGAAGCACTCTCCAACGTTCCACGTTTCAATTCTTGAGGATCTCTGTAAAAAAAAAAAAACAAAAAAAACACAAAAAATACAAAATGGTAATAATATGATTTTATAAAATAATTCTATTAATTACTCGTAGTATTTAAAAATCAAAATAATACGATGATGAATTATTTTTGTAATTTATTTAAATACAAGCAATTAGCATTGACAAAAGTAATCAATAAAACAAAATATAGATAAGAAAGAAATATAAATGAAGAAGCAATGATTTCTTATGAACGGAACGTGATTATCTACCAATCTCGATGACCCGATTAACGTTATTTCGATTACAGCCTTTCTCCAAACTATACTTATTAACAATCGATATGAAAGAAAATGAAATAAATTCGAAACGTATTATATCAAAATATTTACCTGGATAATTCGTTCGAGACTAGATTACTGTGAGGTGAGTAAACTGTTGGATTTTTGTACATGCTGCAAATGAGCCTCTCACGGCAAGATTCATCGAAGAATCTCAACTGTGCAAAAATCTCTTCCAAACGATTCATAATAGGTCCATAATAATCATCGTCATAGGTTTGTACGTTTGACGATGACGAGACGATTGAATTCTTCGAAGTGGCAACGGACTTGTTTATCCTTGGTATAGTTGTTTGTCTAACATTTGCTTGATTTAAAATACCGTAAGTATTTTTCTTGATATTATTTATTGGTTGTTTTAGTTGAACACCCGGTAGATTGTTGACAGACTTAACGGAAGTAGATATACCATTGGGTTCGACAACACGACGATTGTATTTATCGTCGAAGTATCCCGAGTAGGCCAAATTGTGTGCGTGAGCTGAGATTGAAGTAGGATATTTGTCGTTGTAGGTGGTGGAAGGTGAAACTACAACTGGTCTGACGTTTGCAGCATATTGGGGAATACCATAAGGATTATTGTAATTAGTTCCTGTTGCATATTCAGTAGAAATTGGATTATTCATTATTGATGCTGGTAAAACACCAGGAACGTGTTTATTAGTTGTATCATCGTATAAATCATCGTAAGGTTCGATACCCCATTCTTTTAATTCTTCAACATCTTTACGATATTGTATATGGGGATGGGAGTAATCATAACCATTCAAATCATCGTCGTGGTGATGATGATGGTGATCATAGTAAGCTGGTACCGGTACCGGAACGGGAACGTGATGATGATGATGGGCAATCTGATAAAAATATAGAGACATTATAGTTTACTTAATAAAGTTATAAAATAATAATAATAATAATTCAAGATTGTCATACCTGATGATGATGATGATGATATTTCGGTCCATGAGACGTATAGAAACTCGAGCATAATTTAAATATATGAGCAAACGGTGGTATTAGGAAGAGTAATAATTTTAAAAACAATTTCTTAGCAGCACCTACTCCAAATAGGAACGGTATTACGAATAAAAATTTCACTTTGATTAATTTGATGATCAATATCAATGCTATAAAACTAAATAACAATTTGTTCTGTATAAATTTTTCTGAAATGAAAAAGTATGTCGATATTATTATTTGCATTTGCATAATAACCTAGATTACAGGTATAATATACTGATGTAATACTTTCTTATACTTACTTATTTTCTTAAATATTCTTCCTTCGTTACTGACACCTCTAACCTCGGTGAAATCTAATCTAATTAATGCACCTGTATCATCGATTTGTCGTGGACTTATCTTCATCGTTGTACCTTCGAACAACATTTTAGGCAATTGAATCTCGTAATCTCTCGTAACTAAAAATTTCATAGCCTTATGCCTGAGTGCATCGGTTATTTCTTCCAAAGGTGATTTAGGTTGTTGTTCATCCATCATTATTCTACCACGTCTTCTCGTACCACTATTAGCATCATTTTGTTGCTTATCATCGCCATCTTCGTCATCTTTAAATTCGCAATTTGTCTTAATAGAATCATCTATCAAATTGTCATCGATACTTTTTCGTTTATTTTCCATTTTACACGTGCCATAATTTAAATTATTTTTCGTAAGCGTTAAACCATCGAATATCGTGATATTATTATACTTATCACTGAAAGTATCGTCCAAATAACTGTAAGCATTCTTTTGAATACACGAAAAGGTCACTTTCTTTTTACAATCCTTCAACAAACCATGCCAAAGTTCGTTATCAGTCGTATTAGTTGATATCAATTGATCCAAATGAAATGTTTTAGCGAATGAATATAATTTATCATAATTTAATAATTCAATTGATCTAGTTGTATCGATTAATATTAAAATAGTTACGAACCAGATTACATTTCCCAACATTATTGATTTTTTAATATGCATTTTTTCTAAAATATATTACCTACTTTCTATGTGTAATAATATTCTATAGAAATTCAATGTAATCTCTTTCTCTCAACACTTTTCATTCAAACGATAAAACACACTGTTCACGTTACTTTGCCTTTTTTTTTTTTTTATTTGAATACTCAAGCAAGTAGGTACAGATGCGTGTATTTGTGTCAATATAATTCCAATAAAAAATATTTAATCAAAATATATAAAATTACACCATAGGTATAGATTAAAATCGTATTAGTGATTATCCATAGTAATAATGAAGTTTCATAATAAACGTGAATCGGCACACTACTTAACATTCTTATCACTTTCGAGACACATATATACTTATTCGGTTTGATTATTATTCAAGTAACTCGGACATCTTCTTTATTACTCTCTCTTTCTTTTTCTTTAGAAATCTTATCAAAAATCTTGCCGATCTCACGAAGACGCGTTCCGTTCAATCTCCCGGTTAAAACTAACCACGAGCTACTACACCGTTCTTGGTTACAATTCACCTGGAGCGTCAAGTATGTCAAAGGCCCTCCTACTCCGTCTACGTACAGCTCCGTGGAAGGTCATTATCGTCTTTCCTCTCCCAACAGACAGACTCCTCTTACGTTCACCTGTATTTTCACGTTAGTTTAATTCAATCGAATTCATTTTGTTCTCTTTTATTCTTATGCTCATTATCTTGTCATTATTATTATTATTTCATATTACATACATTTATTCAAATGTATTGACATTATTCATAATTAATTAATATCAATACTGTATCAATTTAAACAAACATTATTTTATCGTACAATTTTTTTCTCAAACAAAATTTTCATTCATTATGTATGTATCATAAATTTTGTCAATTTTAATGGGTTCAGTTTTACTATATTCATCGTATTCAATTTTTATTATCAATGTAATTTTTTTGAATTACGATGAATATTATGAATTACTTCATCGGTTTATCGTGCTTTTATTGTTTCGTACAATGTGTACATTAATTAAGAACGATCATTTTCTTCATTCCACGCTTACTGGACCCGCGTGTTGCATCAGACCGTTGTACGATACAGTTTTAAACATTTATAAGGGCATAGACCGGTTACCATCTTCTTCAACTAACTATAGTACTCATGTCATCTTCTATACTTTTCATTAAATCCTTATTTGTTTTATTAAAAGTCGTCATATCCGTTTGTAATTACAAAATAATTAAGTTTAATTGAGAAAAGTTAGTTTGTATTCTAATAATATAAAATAATAATAAAATTAAATAATTAGAAAAAATAACATAATCAATTAAACAAATAGAAATGAATTTTGTATTTTGAATAAGATTCTTCTCACACATTTTTTTTTGTTTTCTTGAGGAGAAGCAGAGATTTCTCATTTAAAAATTCTAAGAATTTTTAATGGAAATCGTTTGACACAGTTTTTTTTGGGGGGGGAGGGAGGGAGGAGGGGAGGGGGAGGGTGAAATAAAAAAATTATTAAATGTCATAATCATCGTAAATGATTGATATTATTCTTGAAGGATGTGTCACAGTTTACACGACTCAATTTTGTTTCCCCTAAATTTACAGTTATATCACACGAATAAGAATACACACACTAACATTCTATTAACGTTTAAATGGATGGCTTCCGGAGGTCGGAAGAAGCTTTTCACTAATATAATCGCGGTGAAGGTGTTCTCATTCATCGGATGAATGGCTACGGTACACGACTAGACGTTTAAATTTGTTACGTTATCTCATAGCATGTTGAAGTTGAATCTTTAATCAAATCAGATCAAGTTGCTAAAACAGGTATTCGTTTTATAAAGTGAATTTATACTATTAAAATCTCGTCACTTAATGTAATACCACTTTCAATTTTAATTGTAAAATCATTATACAACGTTCAACTTTAATTATATTTATACATAATAGGAATAATATTGTTGATTTTTTAATTGAACCGCGTAATCAAACAGTCGATCGATATTACTTTCATTTGATTATTATTTAAAAAAAAAAAAGGAAACTTTTAAACATAATTGTCATCGTATATTTTAACTAATGAACTACATATAATTATTAAACGAGAAAATCATAACACGTGAATGATAATATTGTTGTTGTGAGAAATATTTCGATGAATTTTTACTGAACGAAAATGTTTTCAACAGAATTTTAAGGTGAGATAGGGTGGGCCAACCAACCGGTCCCGAGTGTTCATTCTGACCGGATGAATTCCATTGACCTACTTTATCAGTTAAGTTGTTAGGTATGTAGGTAACCTCGGCTCCATGTTTACTTCCTCGTTCGGTTCGGTTTGGTTTAACGTTGGAATATTAACCAAAAATATGTATATATATACATATACATATACATATACATATACATATACATATATAATCACGTAAACTTTCCATCTTACCATTAGCGTGAAAAAGATCGTCTTGTATTTATTCTTTGGAAAATTTGTTTGCCGAAAAAAAGAAAAAAAGAAAAAAAAAAGAAAATACTTCATAGAAGAAACATAACCTTATTCTTATTTATCTTCTTTTAAAGATATTTTTTTATTCTCGTTACCCATGAAAGAGTAAGAAGTACGTTACGTTCAAACGTAGCCTGAATACCATATTTGCGAGAAAACTTAGCAAAAGGTGAGAGATGATTTTTGAAAGAAATGACAGAATACCTTTTTGTCTCCCTCTTAAGTTTGTTTCTCATGGTTAAAAATAATTTAAGTGTGTAAAATGGTCTAATTAATTTTAAATGTCCTTAAATTATTTCCCTTACCTTTCTTTTGTTCTTTAACCTCGTTATTAACAACCGTGAGTATTTTTTTTTTTTTGCTTTTTTTTGTTAATAATAAAATGGATTTATAATTCTAACGGTTACTCCTTCCCATCTCTTACAATGCAATTGAAATGTTTAATCGAAAGTAAATAGTAAAAAACAATCGATGACATGTCAAAGTATAAGTTTGAAAGTAAATTTGATTATTTTTATAAATGTTGTGTGTGTGTGTGTTTTTTTTTATTTTTATTTTGTTTCAAATATGACAAGTAATGTGAGAACATGTTGATCGTATTATAAAATAGACCAAGTAACTGGAACGTAAATATTATATGGTGAAAGGAAAAATAATTCATTTTTGAATAAATTAATCAATCATAAAATGAAGAATTGGGACGTGTAACATTTTTTTTCTCTCTCTTTTTTCGAAATATTGATGAACATAATTTTTTTTTTTCTTTTTTCATAATGAGAAGAAAGAACAAACGTGTGTGTGTGTTATACATGCATATAAATTATTGTTCGTCTTGTTTTATTTATATTTTTTTTTCAATAGTATGGAAGAAATCTTTTCAGAAGTTTTAACTCATCTCCACCTGTAAACCGGTTGTTAATCTTACAGTAAAATATTATATGTCAATTTTTGTTTTTGTTTTTATCGTTCGAAGCATTAAGTCACCTGTAATTTCAAGGAAGTTGTCAAAAAGAAAAGAAAAGAAAAAAAAAATGCATTACTAATTCGTATTTGAAATTAAAATGAAGATGAACATTGAAAATTAATTATTATTTCAATTTGAAATTAATTAATCTTGCAAATAATTAATATATAATATAAACAATTGAATTATTATATTTCAATTAGTATTAAGTAAGTCGCATAATAATTGACGATTATTATACGTTTAGATGCAATCAACATTTCCCCTTCTCCCCCTCCCCCTCCCCATCACCACCCCTCCCCTCCTTTCCCATTCTCTGATGCATTCCAAGTTAAAGAGGAAAGTGAACACCTATTTTAAAACGCGAGAATGCATTTATTTCTGGAACATCGATCGGTGTGTTACTATCTTTTTTTTTTTTTTTTTGTTAAACGACAGGTAAAAACTTTCACCGATTTTCCTTGACCAATCCAGTATAAGTAACCAATCATGATTCCTCGATCCTTTCTCGATCGCGATCCAATCATTGGGTTGTCTAACGGTGATACGAATACTATAACTTGCAAGGAGAACATAGACGAAAAAGTAATATGCGTGGCCATACTCACGCACACTGATAATAAAGTAGTAGACTCTCTCTCTCTCTCTCTCTCGTACCTAGATCTTCTTTCACGCTTTGCTCGTTCGAAAAATTGGCATGCCGTTACTCTTTTCAAATTCAATAGCGTTGTGGACACCGAAAAGCTTAACGCGTTTTGAATTTTAAAAACTTGTAACATCTGCCACGCGTCTATTTATGTATGTATGTATGTAGGTCATATCTACTTGTTAAAAGAAAATTCAAATAGAATACGATTTATACTAATGATTCATTTTTTCAATCGTTAGAATTAAATTGAAAACACATTTATATTAAAACAGATGAATTCTTGATTATTATCTTTAAAATTAAATATTATAAAATCATGTAATTAGAATTGACTTAAATTCTTTCTTTGACTACTTGATCGACTAAGTAGTAGTAGCCTACCAAGCATTGAAATCACCCAATCGGTATTCCTCATGAATTCGTGAAGGCTATGGCACAATGCCAAGGTTCTTGGTGAAAGGATTTCAATAATTCTATTTAACGAGACAAATAAATATAACGAATAATGAAATATTTGATATAAGAACATTTTATTAAAAATAATATTCGTAAAAAATAATTACAAGTATATTAAAATACTTATCTTAATATTAAGTAGATTGCAACCTAACCATCAATAAATGAAACAAAATGGTGCCTAGAAAGTTCAAGCGTTGTGCAATAGATAGCGCTTTTACTCGATTCTCTATCATTTTTTAACTTTATCATAATAATAATTAAAACAATCTATTGTTATTCTTAATTAACAATTAATATATATAAGTGTGTATATTTTATATATAATTTTGTCCTTAATTTTCTAATTCTATATTAATTAAAATTACAAATTTTGTATTAAGTAGTATACCCTGTGTTTAATAAATTTACTTTTGTTCCTTCGTATTGATTATCATTTAATTTCTGATTGGTTGTATTAATCTTTTTCGCATTTTCTAAAGATTGCCACTCGTTAGTATAAACAGGTCGCAATACATTGAAATTATAAGATGAATCAGCTTGCTCGACTTTCCTATCGATCGAAGTTGTATTCAAATTATTATTATTATTATTATTAACATTAACAGATCTATTAATATTTAAAAAATTCGGTAATGTGGTGTAATTGTAATTATTTAAATAAGTTCGTATCGTGGTAAGATTATCATTCGAATCTTGAAAATCTTCGTAATCCAAACTCTCTTTATGGTCGATTGATTCACCAATCATCAAAGTAGGATTGGAAGTATGTTTCTTTGATTTTATATTATTACGACTCGTTTGAAGTTGCGGTAATACGATAGCAGAATTAAAACTACGACCCCAACCACCTCCGTAACCACCACCACCACCAGTCGGTACACCATAGACGGGTGCTGGTAGACTATAACTATCACCACATCCTCCTCCTCCTCCCCCATTACCATTACAACCACCACCTCCTCCTCCGTAACCTCCGTTTCCTCCACCATAACCTCCACCTCCACCATTTCCACCGTATCCTCCACCATTTCCACCGTATCCTCCACCATTTCCACC